GTACGGCCGCTACGCGCCCAGGCAGGCGCGCTGCTGCCCGGCCAGGCTCGGCTGGTTCTTGCAGGAGGTGCCGGCTCTCCTTGTGCCGCTGCTGCTGTTGCTGCTCCCCGGGGAGACCGGGACCGGGAGGAGGCTGCTGATCGGCACCTTCATGCTGCACTACTTCCACAGGTACGGTCTCATGCTCGCGTGCAGCAGAGAAACACTCACGATATAAACTTCTGATTATTTACAGTGTCGAGGCGCTAGTGTCTAAACCAGGGGTGTCAAACGTACGGCCCGCGGGCCGGATCAGGCCCGCAAACGGGTTTAATCTGGCCCGTGAGATGATTTTGTAAAGTAAATGAGCAGCAATTTTTCAATAAAGAAACTGCTGTTCCAATTGTGTCTATTGGATGGCGCATTAGCAATTGTGAGCTACTTTGTTTTGCCCATGAAATTTAAACCTGGTGTGCTTTGGCACCCTCATTGCCCCAACATGTCTCTGTCAAAAAAGAGAAAAGTGGATGCAGAGTGTTCCAAGAAAAACGGTCATCCTCCTGTTTATTCACGGAAGTGAATGGGAAAGCTGTATGTTTGGTGTGTTCCCAGCATGGTGCAGTGCTGAAAGTATATAACCTCCGTCGCCACTATGTGAGTCTTCATGCCGACAAATATGACAACTTTCAAGGACAGCGGAGAAGAGAGAAGGTGAATGAACTGTTGGCGTGTCTGAAGAAACAGCAGTCTGTGTTTACAGCCGAGACATCAGTGATGCTGCAGTGAAAGCTAGCTTCCTCAATGCTAACGAAATTGCACTAGCTTCAAAACCATTTAGTGAAGGTGAATTTATAAAAACATGTATGATGAAGGCATCGGAGATAGTGTGCCCTGAAAAGCGCCAGGGCTTTGCAAATATCAGCCTGACAAGAAACACAGTTGCCGACAGGATTTCTGATCTTTCAGCGGATTTGGACAGCCAGTTGAAGCAAAAAGTAAAGTCATTTATTGTGTTTTCAGT